GAGCCATCTGGGTCCAGTGCCAAGATAGAGATCAGGATGACTGGAGATGGCCCGAGATGCAGTGGGAGACTGGCTTTTTTCAGCTAAGGTCTTTCCCAGATCTCATATGGTTTGCTATTAAATAAAGATTTTAAAATGTTAAAAGGTAGTAACAAATTTGCCCTGTTGGGCCCTTTCTGAATTAGTTTTACTGATGCTCTTTTCTATTTTCATTTTCACATCTATTACTACCCATGAATTCACCCCTTTTCAATCCACATAAGCCCTCATTTTAAACAAATAAATACAGTCAAGCAAAACAAGTCAACGCAGTATTATTGTCTGAAAATATATGTCTCATTTTGCACCTTTAGTCCATCACCTCTCTTGTCAAGAAGTGTAAGACATGCTTCATAATCACCTTTCTGAAATCATGCTTGGTAACTATGTTGATCAGAGTTTTAAAATCTTTCAAAGCTGTTTTCCTTTCCTCTATTTGACCATCCTGTGAATTTTTCTCCTGGTTCTGCTCATTTCAGGCTCTATCAGTTCAGGCAAGTCTTCATAAGTTTCTCTCACATCTTCATGTTTGTCATATTATGGTGTAATTTGTTTAATCATTACCCAATGTTCTTTGACACAGTGAAAAAAAAATGCTGCTACAAATTGTTGTACATATGGGTCTTTCTCCTCTGTCTTTGAACCTTTTGGGAGTACATCTCTAGTGGAGGTTTCACTGGACAAAGGGCATGTACTATTTGACACCTTTGGAAGGATGGCTCCCAATTGTTTTTCAGAATGGTTGTATTCATTCACAGCTCTACCAAAAGTGCATTAATGAGCCTTTCCCTCCAAAGTCACTCTAGCAATTGCCATGTTCATCTTTTTGCCAATCTGATGGCTGATGTGGAACTTCAGGAATTGTAATAATTTGCTCTTACCTTTTTATTGGTATTTTATATTGTTGTTTCATATGGCTATTGATGGCCTGCATTTCTTGATTTGAAATGGCTCGTTCATAACTTTAAACCACTTTTCTCTTGAGGAATTGATCTTTTTTCTGATATATTTGTATCAATTATCTATATATCTTGGATATCAGACCTTTATCTAGGGTATTGGCTGCAAATGTTTTTTCCACAGTTGTGCTAGTTGGCTTCTTTAAAGGAGGATGCCAGGAAATCTGTGTGCCCAGCCTTGCAATGCTTTATGCCTAGATACCATATCTTCTCACACAAAAATGCATATGCTAGACGACTGGAAACCTCCAAATAGGTTTTCTCAACTTTACCATTGGTGTTCTGACTTTGAGATGTCTTATCATCATCATTATTATTATATAACTAAGGTAGGACATTTGTTATCATGTTACCACACACACTGGGCCATGCCAGTTATAGCCACTGGACGAAAAACAAAACAAACTCCTTTGGCAGGTCTTCCTTTAGTACAGCTCCCACTGAGCTGTACAATTAGTGCCAATCACTAAAAGTACTTTGCTAGCCCAAATTATATGTTGTTCACTTGGGTGTGTTAAAAGGTGCAGAAGCCATGCCTCACTTATTAATCATTAATGTAAACTTGCCACCTACTCAGAACTTTTGCTTCTTAAATCATTAAATAAAAAAAGCATCAGTCTTAAGCATAAATCCAGTGTGACCCAATACACAAAGGTTCTTTCTTCTAAATTCTATTCATACGAAGGGCAATTTGTCACATGATATTTACGTTAAAAAATAAGGGTCAAGAATGAATGTCTAAGATAATAAATGTGTAGATTGTTTTCTACTTCTTGTGGGAAGGGAAGGGCTCTGTAACAAACTTTGATGCTGAGTTAAGCACTTTCATTCATAAGTCCATCTGAAAGTCATATCATCTGGCGATTTATGCTGGGTTGTCCATGTCTCCTAGCTCCTTTCCTCTTTTAAATTTTAAATACTGCAAAGGAACCATTTACCCTGTGAGGTTCTCATAGTTAGGACCAAACCCTTCTCTGAGGAATTTTGGCACCCAATTAATTAGCTTGTTATGAGCAGGAGCTGCTCTCTTTCAGTAACTCCTATTCTGCCATCAGTAAAGTGTGATTCCGTAATAAATTTCCATGAAGCAAACTATTTCTGGTAATTCTCCCTAATTAACACCAGGTCTGCTAATAATAAATTAGTACCTATGTGTTTCTGATATAACCAAGATCTTGTCTGGGAGGACCCTGAAAAGGCAAACTTCAACCTAAATTAAGCTCTTGCTGGCAAAGGGATTTATATGCCATTTTGTAAGAAAACCTTTGATAATCTTATATTGGGGCATTCTAACTAGCAAACATTGAGTGACAGGGAGATTTGTTCTGGTCTGAGCACTGAAAAGGGATTTACTGTGAACACATACTGTTGAGTCTTAAGCCCATAAATCTTACTCGAGATTACTGATGCTTAATGAATGAATGACAGATCTCTTATTTTTGTCAGTGCATTTTAATGTGCAATGACGTGATTGACAGAAACCAAACATTGACCATTAAAGTGTCAAATGCAGACACGATGCCCTTAAATGTTTGGCTTCTGGAGTTTAATATACTATGGGTAAGTAGACCTGAATTTGTCTTTTATTCCCAAATCTCAAAACTGCAACAAAAAACATTCCTCTAAAACTTCATGTACTTGGGGGGGGAAAAATCTCACTAAAACCAGTAAACAAACAAGGCTGAAGTAAACCTACTTAGCTTTAGAATACCTGGCTAATGAGACTGTAATGAGATCAGTGCTATCATCTTGAAATCCTTGGCCAGAGTGATGGTAGATAGTGGAGACGGACAAAGTCACAGCTAAATAAATGACCAGCTTTGCTAGTGATAGACAGTAGTAATAAGCCTGAAAAAAAAAAAGCCTATTACATTGATGCACCATTTTCAAGTATTGCTTAACTCTGAGTGATTGTTGGGCCAACAAAATGGGATAAAAAGTGCTTAACTGTGGGTCGAGTATAACCCCACTCCTATCATGACTGATTAAAAGGAGAATCATTTGCCACAAAAAACCCAGACATGTTCTTCTGAAACACCACACCTATTTATTATGAAGCTATTTATTATTTGTATGTACATAAAGGCATTGTTTTGCTCAGCATGCTGTTTATATGCCTTTTCATTAGGATACTTATCCAAAAGCAAAACTGATTAGAATACAGTTTTTTAGAAACATAATCAGAAAGAAGCAAAAGTTAGAGGTTAATAGAGAAACAAAAAGACACACTGGAAATCTCAAACCTTTTAAACAAATCAAGCAGAAATAAAATTGATGGTGCAGTAATTTTTTTCTACCAATTTGTGTATTTTTCCTTATTTTTATATGCCTGCAAAGCTGTCTTCCTAAAGTAACTGAGGAAACTGCATTCCAAATTACATGTACTGAGACATTTACTCCACACTAATATGGGCAGCTTGTTCTAATTACATCTAAGTTCACGCAAGAGCAAAGACAGGGAAAGTTCCTTGGAGGCAGTGTGCATAATGAATATAGCTAGAGTACCTCACCTGTTGAAAATCTGTATATTAATATATTCTCATTATAAATAATTTTATAGATAATGCTGCGTGAATAATTTTTTATTCAAAGCCTATTGTCTTAATTTGAGCTCATACCCTAACATTTCTCAGAGTTACAGTTTAGTTTAGTCCTAGGCTTTAATATGAAGTCTGAACCATCAGGGATTATGGGCAGGAGAGGAGAGGGAGCTTCTTGGGGAACCTGAAATTTAGGGCATTTAAATGCACAAATGAAGGTACGAATTTTTTAAATTAGGCTTCTGGTAGCAACACCCACTATACTTTGGAGGACAGGATTTGACCCTTAGAGGCCTACTAAAATACTGGGTAAGCCTAGATCAGTAATTTTAATCATGGAACTTCGAAAATTCCCAGTGATTAGTCACTATCTAGGGCCATATGGTACATTGTTAAATTGTGCTACAAATCTGGCATCCAAAAATATACATCAAGAGAGCTTGAAAATAAATGAACGGCACAGAAGCAGCAAAAACAGAGAAGGCTGTTTTGAACTAGGAGCTATCTATAACCAGAACAATAAATACTCAGGGAGATAACCCGGACAATAAAGTGCTCAGCCTGGTATTAAAAGATTAACCCTCGTGTATTAAGATCTACCCTTTCTTAGGAGAAAATACACAAATCCTTCTGGTTTATGAGCAGTAGACAGAACTTATTTTCATGGGATTAGCGATTTGCCAATAATCTGACATTTCTAACTACTCAGTTACTAGAGAGACAAAGCACAAAAAGAGAATTATAAATTCGGCAGCAGCTTCTCCCCTGGCAGGAAGAATGGACGTTAGGGGAAATACAACGACCTGATCTCCAAGGAATGTGGGGTGGGGGTGGGGGAAGGGAAGGATACTTCTTTAATTAAGAAAAAAAAAAGTCCTTAAAGTATGATAACTTCAGCCAAATTCCAGGCAAGAATTCTTACCAAGTACACAAATGTCATAGACTACTGAATAAGATCTTGGCACGTAGTCCTAAAACAAACAAAAGAGGGAGCAGAAAAAGGACCCAGCGCACAGCAAAGCAGGTCAGAAACCCATTTTGAACTGCTCCCAAGCTGCAGACTTTGTGGGAGGCAGGATGTCCCAGAGGCCCCCGTGCAGGTGCGCAGCAGCCGAGAGCGCTGGAGAAGCCGGCTGAGTCCCCAGGGCGCGCTCGCCCCTTCCTAGATACTAAGAACCCGCAACATCTCCCGCTTCTGATTTGTTTCAATTAATTATAATCCACATATAACATAAATTGGTTAAGACCATAAATTAACAGCCTGTCAGCACAGCTGCCTTTCGAGTTCAGGAGTTTAAACAAAGAGGGCAGTTTCAACCTTTACTCCTGAACAAACAGGCTCACAATGGAAGGGAGGCAAGGGAGTGAGTGATGGGCCCGGGGAGGGACTGGACGCTCCCATCCCTTTAGAGAAACATCTTGCCCCACAAGTCTAAAATGAAAACTTAGAACCATGAGGAAGCACACACTGACCTTCCCTCTGTTCGCTAGAAACACACAAGAGAAAAAAAAAACTGAACTAAACTAAAAAACCATTAAATGCCCGGCATCTTTGTTGCTGAGCTAATATATACAGTGTCCTGAAAATCTTAAGGCAGTTTAAAGCTTTGAGTTTTAAACTGCATTAAGACTTTTGGGACACCCAACTAATATGATCATGATTTCTCTCTCCCTAGATCTACGCATAATTTTAATCACTAAATATGGAAAGCAAATAATGTGCCAATAAGTCATCACTTCTCCATCCTTAATATCACAAAACTCTCAAATGAAATGTTTTTGCATTTAATTTGAAAAGAGCTTCACTTATTGCTACTTTTAACCCTCAACAATCAAAGAACACAGGATATATTTTTATCACATTTCAAAAATGATGTTTCTCTATATTCTAATTAATTTCCAAATCTGTAATTACAGAAAAATCTTGTGTCCAAGTAAAGCTCTTTATCCTTCAACCAATCAAACTCTCACAAGTTGCTCTGATTTATCAATCTAGAAAGTGTAGATTTTCTTTTAGATAAAATCCACTGACTTAAAATCTTTCCTCAGAATTTCTTTCCAAAAATAATGTTCTTAGCACAGCTACACAGAAAGTTTAAAAAAAATTTGAATGTGGCCACTAAATGAGAGAGCATATTTTTGAAAAGGTGTTGATGTGACCCAAAACTAGTTCTTCTGCTAATTGATTTGTACCAATGCTGTACGTAACCTTCCAAAATTTAATAAGATAGCAACTGTCATTTATGCAGTGCCTGAAGGTTTGCAAAAGCTCTCTCTCTCTCTCCCCCTCTCTCTTCTCCCTCTCTTTCTTTACCTCCCCAACCCCTTTAAAGGGAGAAAGGCTCAACTTTCTGACCATTCACTTTTTTTTTTCTTGTCATATTCTACTCTTGGGGAAAAGGGAAGGCTAAGAGTAGAACACAGTACCAGTAGAAAGATGCATATAATGAATACCAGATGGTCTCATGTTACTAAAAGGTTAACCTACATAGTTTATGTATGAGTTCCAATAGATGCTTGCATGAGGGGAAAAGGCTTTCCTCATTAATACATCACTTAAAACATTTGCACATTTTGCATCCAAAATTCCTTTGGCATTTCTTTCCATAAGTGATCAGTTTTTAGCATAGCTACACAGAAAGTTAAAAAAAAAAAAAAAGATTGGCACCTATCACCTAATGAAATTTTCATTTAACTTGAGGAAGAAGTCTCATTTTTAAATTTCTCATACAGATGGGAACATCTGAGGCATTTTTATAGATTTTTTCCCCAGATTTACTCAACATCCATCTATAAATTGATTGCGATCTTGCATTGACTGGGGGGAGGGAGAGGAGCATGTGTTGAGGTCTCAGCATAAAGAACACCATTCACCAAAAAAAAAAAAATTCTTCATCCAGTTCTTTCAAGATGAACAATATTCGCTAGTTAATACAGGCCTGACAGCTATTTTATGGGCAGAAAATGCCTTGAAAAACCTTGAGTTTCTATGCCATCTCCCTCTCTCTATTTTACATGTCCAAATATTTCCATACAAATGTATAAAAATTTATCCTTTCTGCATATTTTTTCAAAGTGATATGAATATTAGCCTATGAAAAATTAGCTACTAGTACAATCCATCTTCTTTTCACTCTTCATTTTTTTTCTTCTTTCTCATTATGTCATTTCTTTTCAGAAATTCAGAGAATGAGCATGTTTCTTGCACAGTGGTTTATCCTTCTTGGAGAAAAAGGTCTGCCCTTCCAAACTGTCAGAACATACCTGAAAAGAAGAGAAAAACCATTCAGGAAACCATCAACATCTTGTTGAATACACTTAGCAAAATAGATATAGCACATTTTTAAAAAGGTGTTGATGTGACCCAGAACTAGTTCTTTTGTGAACTGATTGGTACCAACACTCTATATAACCTCTTAAAAGTTAGTACCATAGCAATTGGCATTTACTCAGTGACTGAAGGTTTGCAAAAGCAGCTGAACAGACATTGGAGAGTGAGTCCCACAGCCCTGTTAGGTGGGTACTCCAAGTATTCATTGCTGTCTCTATTTTGCAAATAAGGAAGCAGAAAGTTCAGGAAGATTAAATGAGTTTATTGAGGTCATACAGATAATAAGTTCTAGAGATGGAGTATGGACACAGGACATGTTGATTCCAAGTCCAACATTCTATTTACTATCTAGGGATGGGGAACCTTCAGGCCTCAAGGCCACATGTGGCCCTCTAGGTCCTTAAGTGGGGCCCTGTGATCAAATCTGTTCTGTGAAGTTTGGATTCAAAGGGCCCCACTTGAGGACCTAAGGGCCATATGTGGCCTCAAGGCTGCAGGTTTCCCACCCCTGAATACCACGATGCTTCTTTGAAAACAAGGTCGATTTAAATTCATTTTATTTTCCTCAGTTGTGTCCCAATTTGAGGTTTTCTTGGAAAAGATACTGCAGTGGTTTGCCATTTCCTCCTCCAGCTCATTTTACAGATGAAGAAACTAAGGCAAATAGTGTTAATTGACTTGCCCAGGGTCACACAGCTAGCAAATGTCCATGGCCAGATTTGATTTCAGGAAGATGAGTTTTCTTGACTCCAGGCCAGCATTCTATCCTTTGTGCTACTTAGCTGCCCCTCATTTTGTTTCACCAATTCTGAATAGTCCTTGGCTGCTTTGCTAACATATCATTAAACTAGAACTGGGCAAGACTGTGACACGTAAGTCATTTTTAAGTTCTCTGACAAACCAGTGACCTTCTTAATGTGAACACTCTTTCCACCAGTGCAGGTTAACACTCATCCCTGCCACTCACTATTTATGTAAGCTAAAGCAAGTCTTTTCACCTCTGTGGACCTCAGTTTCCTCATATGGAATGTAAGTGCTGAACTCTAAGGCGCCCTTCATCATCCTGTGAACTAGGCTCTTTCATCCTGTGCATTTAATATTTTGTGGATATGACTACAGCCCTCAGCTAGGCCATCTGTCCTCTCGTGCCCTCAGCACAAGATTGGCCTGCCTCCTTCACTGATCATACATTTTATACCACTTGTTGCCAGTGGGGACTTGAGTTCTTCTGGGCTGTGATGTTTTCTAATTCACAGCTCTACTGCACCACCAGGGAAAACTTTGGTGTTAAAAAAGAAATGAAATGAAGCCTCATCTCCTCCTGGTCAATTCTAGCCCCTAATTCATTGTTCATCTGCTATGCCCATCTAAGATACATGGACAGAGAAGACTAGCTCAGTGGACCGTCCATCCAACTGCATGACATAATCCAAACAATATACATCCTCTATCTATTTGGTCCTTTCTTTGTTTCTCTAGCAATCTATTTTTGCCATCAATGACACCTCATCTAGATTTAAATAATTCTGTATGTGATGTGCTATGTAAAAAAACAGAATTGGCACTCAAGGAAATGAAGTTGATTAGAGCAGCTTGACCCAACTAAATATATTCCAGGAAATCTGTGCTATATATAAGGAGCACAGTTTTAAAGGAACATGTGAATTGATTTTCAAGATACCTCAAAGAGTAGAAGATTGCAAAAGAATGGAAAATACCACAGCTGGTATCATTATCCAAAAAAGTAACAGAGAAGAAATTGGCAACTAGTAAGTCTCTACACATATATACTTGATGAAATACGAGAAAGGAACAGGCAGACTGGTACAACATTCTACAGCAAACCACATCTTCAGAATCACAGTGAACTGAAAAATAGAGCGTGTAAGACTTCTGCTGTGTTAATTGCCTAATTACAAAAAAGCATTTGACTCAGCCAAGATAGATTTGGAGTATCTCCTCCAATAAGGTATTTCCCAGGCATATGTTAAGATTATATAAGAATTGTTCAACCATATGGCAGCACACAGATAAATATCTCAGCCATATGGATGACAGCTGGAATCACGGTGATAACTTTGCTCCACAATCCTTTGATCTTCAATACCCACAAGAGGTACAAGAACAGGGAGACAGACTCCTTACAGGTTTTTGCCATTGTCATGGAGAATGCCTTGAAAACCCCCCAGAAGAAGAAGGATTCTTCATAGACAGGGAGGTTCTGCAGATGCGTCTGTTTCAGAGTGATTCTGTATTGACTGATGAAGCACCTGAACCCTACAGAACTGCCTCAATACCTTTTAATAGGTCTTGTCAAAGTAGGGTGAATGGAAGAGATAACAATTAGTAGCTTACAAGAACTTTGGACACCTTGGTCAATTTCATTTAATACTTCTCTTTCCCCCTTTGCTCTGGATAACTGAAAGCGGTTGGATATATTCATATACATTTAAATATGTGTGTACATAATAATTCAAAAAGGCATTTATTAAGTGCCTACTGTGTGCCAGGCACTGTACTAGGCACAAGGATACTAAGACAAACAAAAATGTCCCTGTACTCAGGAAGCTTGCATTCTATTGAGAGGATATGATATGTATAAACACCACCACCATCATCATCAACCACTTTATCATATAGCACTTTGAGATTTGAAAAATGCTCTATACATATCATCTCATATGGTCTTTGAAACAACCCTGGGAGGTAAGGGCTATTATTCCCATTTCACAAAGGAAATTGAGGCTCCGTAACTTGCCCAGAGTTATACAACTAGGAAGTGTCTAAAGCAGGATTTAAATCCAGGTCTTCCTGATTCCAAGTCCAGCAACCTATCCACCTAGCTGCCAAATAAATATGGCACCTAATAAAAGGAAAAGTACAGGTGAAGACGTGAAGGATCTGTGATTTCATCAATGTGGCCAACTTCTGCTCCTGGTTGGGTATTCCCTCCCACAAGGTAGATTAAAACTTTCATGAAACAGTCACTAAAGTCAAGGGAATTGCTTGAATTATCTAGAGAAGATGTTGTTACTAGCCCCAGTGATACATTTATTAAGTATCAATAGTGGGACATAAACCCCAATCTTTCTGAGTCTCAAGTCCAGAACTCTATCCACTGTGTTTCACTGCTTCTGAAGATGCAATATGTGTATGAAGTACTTCTTGTAGGGGAAGAGGAGTGAGAAGCACTAATAACTGGGGAGATCAGGAAAGGCTTTATATAGGAAGGAGAACCTGAACTATGCCCTGATGGAAGCTGGAGATTTCAGAAGTAAAGGTGAGGAAGAATATTCCAGGCAGGAGGCGAATATTTGCCAAGGCACCAAAGAGGGTGATACAATATCACATAAGGGAAACAGCAAGTAGTCCAGTTTGGCTGGATAGTAGTGTCTAGAAAGGTGAACTTAAGATACCACGAAAAGTTTTAAATGTCAAACAAGAGTTTGTATTTTATCCAAAAGGCAACAGGGAGCCACTGAAGACTCTTCAGCAAAAGGTCAGCCAGTCTTGTACTTTGGGAAGGGAAGATTATTTTAACAGCGAGGTGGAGGACAAATCAGAATGGAAAGATTAGAAGCGGGAAGACCAGTAAAACACCTGCAACAGTCTAGGTGAGAGATTAGGTTCTAGGTGTGTTCTAGGTGTGAACAAAGTTAGTGGCTGTTCAGTGGAAATAAGGGGATGGTTTCAAGAGCTAGTGTGGAAGTAGATTTGGTGACTAGTTAGATTTGGAAGCTGAGGGACAAGAAAGAAACAAGGATGATTCCAAGGGCACTGGAGACCTTCACAGACACAGAGATAGCAAGAGGAGAGGTAGGTTGATTAGGAAAGATGACTATTTCTTCTTTGGACACATCGAGTATTCAGGTGTCTATGTGACATACAGATAGAAGGTCCAGAGAAAAACTGAGGACAATTCAAGTTAAGAAATGAGGACTAGATATGGGATTTGAGAGTCACCTGTATAGAGATAACTGAAACCATGGGAGCTGATAAGATCACCAAGAGAGAAAACAGAGAAGAAAGGGGGAAGGAAAGGGGGGGTGGGGAAGGAGAGGGGAGAATCTTAGCCAGAGCTTTGGGGTACTCTCACAGGAAGAGGGTGGGTCAGGCATGATAACCAAACAAAGAAGACTTAAAGGAGCAGGTAAAGGCATAGGAACCAGGAGAGAACAGAAAGCCACTGGAGGAAAAAGCATCGAGAAAAAAGAGACAGCCAATGATGTCAAAAGTTGCAGAGGTAAAAAAAGAATGATGACTGAGGAAGGGTCAATGGATTTGGAATTCAAGAGATCATTAGTAACCTTGGAAAGAGCAATTTCAGTTGAATGTTGTAGTCAAAAGCTGGATTGCATTGCCAGAGGTTGGAGAAGAAAGGAGAAAGGTCACTAGTAAGTGTCTGAAGCTAAATTTGAACTCAGGAAGATGAGTCTTCCTGACTCCAGGCCCCAGTATCCACTATACCACTTAGCTGCCCTTGTCAGCCATAGGAGAAATGATTTTCTCATTCGTCCCAATAAATAATAGAGCATTGTTGATTTTCTTTGGCCTCTGCCGAAGCTGAGGCTCTATTCTGGGTGGCACATGGATAATATGGAAGGCCAGAGCACTGTTGATTTTCTCACCCTTCCTAGGAGGCACCAGCAACTCCACCCCCAGCACCAGTTTGATAGTAACAGAGCTAAGGTGTTGATTTTCTTAACCTCCCCTGTGGCTGAGGCTCCAGTCTAGGTGGCACCTTGATAGTTACAGAGGGCTGGTGGTTGTTGATGTTTTCATCCATCCCAGAAGAATGTAATAAAAAAAGGAACATGTGAGCAGGGCACACTTAGCAGAGTTTTCCTTTTTATATATGTGACTAAGCATGGAGAATATCTAGTGTGGGAATTCCTTCCACCAAACATATATCACTTATTAGGATACATCTTTCACCTTTCATTTTTTAAGTCTAAAGTTCAACTGCGATTTTCAGTAACTTGCCCAGGATGACAGAGATGTAAAAGTTATAAGTATGATTCCAGCCCAGCTCTTCCTGATTACAAGTTCAATTCTATCCACTATACCAGTGGAAAATGAGGCCTCTAAGCTTGCCAGTACATAGTGACATTATTAATGTTTTATTGTAGTGTTTATTTATTTTGTTAAATATTTCCCAATTACATTTTAGTCTGATCTAGCCACTCCACTGGCCCCAAGATGGACACTTCTGTACTATACTGTATATTGTCTTTACTTTTAAAACATGGAAAAATATTTCAGTTTATGCTAAAATTCATTGATAGAATCATTTTCAATAGTTGAGGGGGGGTGTAGGAGGAGAAACCCTACAAAAATAGCAGATTGATCATTTAACAAAATATCTTTACTATCTCCTATAGGAATGCTTAAAGGATTATTGATGAGGAAGATGACATTAAAATATTTAATTTTCATACAGTAAAAAATTAAGATTAGACTTTATTATAGTTGCAGAGGGCTGGTGCTGGCTGTATCAATGCTACCCAGAAAACTCACATTTTCCTAGTCTCTGATTTTACCAGGGGTGGGTAACCTGTGGCCTCAAGGCCACATGTCACCCTTTAGGTCCTCAAGTATGGCCCTTTGACTGAATCGTTTGGATTCAGTATCACAAGGATCAAAGTGGTCAAAGGGCCACACTTGAGGACCTAGAGGGTCACATGTGGCCTTGAGCTTTTAAAAATTAGATAACAAGATCTATAGTACAGATTTCATGTGATTGTTGTGATTCTGAAATAAAGTAAGGGATGTAAAGATTTTTGTTAGCTTTTAAGTGCCATACAAATGTCAGTCATCATCATTAATTAGCTATATAATTATATTATCTATTATCTATTAAATTATCTATGTCCCTGAAAGGTACTAATATCCACCGAAAGCATTTTTGCCATTGTAAGAAACACTAGCTTAACTGATGGGATAAAAATGTACTTCTTAACATTGAAAACATCAAAACAAACATGCTTATTATTAATACATGATCTTATTGAATGTCACATCAGAGAGAAAGGTACTCAAAACTTACCAAAGTGGGGGGAAAAACTTGCTTATAATATTGATACACCTTTCAAAATAACTATAAACTATTTTTCATTTAAGTTTGGAGGCTTAAGAGATACTCTAGTTGTTTTTCTCACACAAATCTGGCTTTACACTGCATTCAATTAATTCAAGAAAAGAAGTTTTTACTTACTGAACACACAAAGCATGTATCATGCCAGGTATGACCCAGAGCTTCCAGAAACAGATCACCAGCTTCTATGGGAAATTCACATCCATGGCATATGGTACCAAATAGAGCATAGTAATCTGCAGGGAGGAAAAGACAGAGAGACTGATGAGAAATCTCAGTTATTTGGAGATGGTACTTTCCCTAATTCTTTCATTTTTCATTCATTCAGAAAGTACAAACAAAAAATTATTTTTATGAAGTACACAAATGTTACAAGAAGGAGGCCTGATTTCTATTTTATGTACTGCCATGTGTATCTGAAAATTTATTATCCTGAGGAATAAAGTTCTTTCTTAAAGAGTTACTGTAAAGTTAACCGGTTTTGCTGAGTTTTAAGTGGATTTTATGACTTTAAAGAAGATATCTGATAAGTACTACTTCAGTAGTATTAGTTATTAAAATTTTAAAAAACCAAGTCAGTTGAAGTATTAAACACCCTTTTGTTTCCAAGTAGTAGAGAGTTAAAATGTTTAGAAAGTCAAGTACAAGTGTTTTTGTTTTTTTGTTTTTAGAGAAATGAGGAAAACAATGTGGGAAAAAATACTCAGTTTTCAAAATTGTTGAACTGTGAACTGATATAGAAAATGTTCCCTTTGTATCACAATGAATTTTTTAGAAAAGCATTAAGATATTAAAATAGTGGAAACTTTTCTCTAGCTGCACTCATTACTGGAAAGCTACCCATATCTATTCCTTTTCTTTGACTTGATGTCTTCAGACGGAAGCCATTAAAGTCAACACCCACCTCTCCAGTTTTCCTAAAGTTTTGGCTTACTTTTGGCACCCAGCTAGGAATGAAGAGAAAGATGGTGGTAATGAAGACACTATTTGACAACTATGTAAATTCTCTGAAATTCTACTTTTGAGGAGATGATTCTGTATTTGGTATTCGTTTTAAATAGCTGTTTAGTAGGAGTCTTGCCATCATTCCCCACCTGACTGAACTGCTAGACTTCACCATGGTCTCTAGAAGCTGCTTTGACAGGGTCACTTCACCCGAAACTCACACCTGCTCATCCTTTCCTCTCATTAGAGATGGTAGAGACTGGATAGTGGTGAGCTCCTCCCAGATCCTCCATTTAGGGCTCAGGGCAGCCATCTCATCCTTTCTGGCTGCATTCCTGGACTACATCATATTCCCACAGCAGGAACCCTCCCTCCACTACCCATCTCCCTTTCCATTTCTTTTAATCTGATGTCTTTTACCATTAGATCACAAGCTACTTGAGGGCAGGGACTTTTTTTTTACCTTTCTTTCTATCCTGTGTTAGCACAATGTCTGGCACATAATAGGCATTTAATAAATATTTATTGATTGATATATTTCTTCTTGGTAATATTTATTTTTCTTTATTCAGAAATTTATAACTGATTCCTATTTAATACCTCTTATCTCACATCAGCCACCAAAATGCCAAAGTATGAAGAATAACAATCCAGTTACTAGCATATTCTACTATTAAAGAATATTAGACATGAGGTTCTATCTTCCTGACAATGTCAAGGCTACTTAATATTGATTAAAAACAAATTCCTGGTGTTGAAATATTGAACATAGGAAATCTAACTCTGATGAGGAAGAAAAGGCCCTCAATTACTGTGTCATGTTGCCGCGGGGTTTCACGAGTGACATCCTTAACTGAGTTTCTGGCTTCAGCTGGTTTGTGTCATAACTATATTGGCCTCAATTTTCTTTTAGTGCTCTTTCCTTACAATCTTATGACTTCATGCTGAAAATCCTTAGAAAAAAATACAATTTAACTTGACATAGCTTTCAGTGATAAAACATTAATAAGATTTTCTTTTGAAGAAAGAAAAGATTTGTCTCTGGCAAGAGTAAAATAGAGTACAACAAGATATTTTTCGTTCATGCAGGTTTTATCATTTTTACTATTATTATTATTTCACGTTACTAGAAGGCCGGCCTTCTTAAGATTTGGCTCCTAAGGTATGGAAAGGTTATGATCAGCATTGGTACAGACACTAACACCAATTAAACCAGGCAACATTTTCCCCACTCTTTGTCCTCTCATATGAGTCCACTGAGAAGGTAACAGGGAAGTATTTGGGTTCTGATCCACCTTTACTCTACAAAACCTTGATGTTTTTCAGATTTTTACCAACATTTATTATGGAACACTAATGGATCCATATTCCATGATCAAGCTCTAGAGTTGGGAAGGAGCTTAGAGGCTATGTAGACCAACACCCCAGGTTAAAGATAGAGAAACTGAGGCCTAGTGAGATTAAGTGACTTGTCCAAGGAAATAAAGGTAGTAAGCATCAGAGGCAGAATTTGAACCCAGGTCTTCTGACTCCAGAAGTCTTCCTTATATCATAATACCTCTCATCACTTAATCAGTAACAGTTAAAGTAAAATGAAATAAATCGACAGTAAAGTAAATAAGACTACATGGAAACTGGGAGGTGTGGGGGAGGTTGTAAGCATTTCTGAGAGAAATTAAAGGAGATACAGAGAGGAAGAGAGAGAAGAGAAGAGAAGAGAAGAGAAGAGAAGAGAAGAGAAGAGAAGAGAAGAGAAGAGAAGAGAAGAGAAGAGAAGAGAAGAGAAGAGAAGAAGAGAAGAGAAGAGAAGAAGAGAGAAGAGAAGAGAAGAGAAGAGAAGAGAGAGGAGAGAGAAAGAGAGACAGAGAGAGAGAGAGAAAGAGAGAGAGAAGAGAAGAGAAGAGAGAGGAGAAAGAAAGGAGAGAGAGAGAAAAATAAAGTAAGAGAGAGAGAGGAGAGAGAGAGAAGAGAAGAGAGAGAGGAGAAAGAG